ATATAGTTATTATCTTCTCTTTTGGTTACCTGTTTGGTGCTGTTGCTGGAGATGTTTGCGTCGGTTGCAGTGGCACTGGTATTAGTTTTGTTATTGGCAGCAGCGTTGGAGACATTGTTGCTGTTGTTGTTGTTGAGGAGTCCTGATCCTGAACTGTTGCTACTGTGGATGTTGGCTTCCTGGCTAGAGGGCTCATCCTTTTCATCGTCCTCCTATGATTAGTTGTAGCATAATTTGACAATGCCCACACAAAATGCCCGGTTGGTTCCCGTTAAATAGTTTGTTAGTCTGGCGGTTGAATAGTTTTTTTATAATTAGGTTGTCTTAGTGACATTTCAGGCACATATGCTCTTGATTCAGCAGTTTTACGCGACAAAGATACACCATTATTATTAAAGGACACTTATACAATATCCATATTAGTACAACCACTCCAGGCTTAAGTATGGTCCGTGTAGTTTAAGACGCTCGGGAAACCTGCCGATTGCAAATGTCTCAACGCCCAGAATACTTTGACCTAGCCACTTTGTTTGTTAGGTTCTTATGGCGCGAAAGAAATTGCAACGTTCCTTTATGAGACGTCTTTTTTTGGTCTCGAGCCTTTTTGGAGCGTTCTCATACATTCCGGTTTGTCACTTTCAGTGATTAGATTGAAGTATAAGATTCGCGTCGTCTCTCGTACAGCAGCAGGACGTTGCGTGAATTATGTAATCATTGGCTACAGCGCATAGCACATACTCAGAAGCTGGCTTTGCTTTAGTCAATGATTTGACCGACATGCTTGCCACAAAGTTTCTTTCTCTGCACGATTTGGTGGGCGATCAGCAGTTGATGACTGTCGAGTCAGCGATGTCATCTGTGCCAATGATCATGCAGGCAAATGCGGTCCGTGACTGTGTCGAGCATCGTGACTGGCTGACGCCACTTGGCTGGACGGCTATTAATAAGACACTGAAACGTCAATAAGTCCTAACCACATCTATGGGCAAACCGTTTAAATAACATTGTCACTGAGGCTGATTGACCACTGATAAAAATCTCAAACCAAGCCAATCGTTACCGGTAGTGGTATGGGATAGACTAAAAATAGATATGACAGACTTCGTACGATGGGATCACACAGAGATATTTTAACAAGTAGGGGCTCTGCTAAGCACCAGCAGAAATTTTCACATCTCGGCGATATATAAACACAATGAGTACAGTCATTTAAAGCTGGAACACTTTAGATAGGCTTCGTGATTTGTTTCCCACCAAGTGACGACACTACTTAGATTATGGACCACGAGTGACCAAACACTGATGATCATCATCATCCTCGACACATCGCTTAGCATAAGATCATCTCGCCTCACGGCATACGACGCTGCTCTTCTGTCTTTAATTTCGAACGGGGAAACAAATTGAAAGCTTTAAATTTTCAGACTAAAGCAGAGTTCGAGAACACACACAGCAATGTCATTGACTAGCAACAGCCTTTCGGATATCACTGATGCAGCCATAGCGTCAGGCGGTCCGCGCCTGAACGGTAACATTGCCAGCGTCACTCTGGCTAGAGCTTAGAAGCCACGCTCAAATGTTGGGAGAATCAACGACCGGGTGATACGTTTGCTTCTGATGTTGCGATCGGTCTATGAGTGAGAACAACTCAACACGTTTGAGCACCCTCCACAGACGCACACGCATACGAGGCGGGTAAGAAGTTGCGCTCCGTTGTGCCGCTGTTCTAGCGAGGAGCTAGACTGCTGGCCGTCGAACTTAGCACTAACGCTTACGTTCCTCTCGCAGCATCATCACCATTCGCTCGAACAAAGTCAACTTCCAGCAGCGCGACCAATGTTACTGCTGTAAACAGCAAACGCCTCACCTCATTCGTAGGCCGGCTCCCCGACGACGCCGGCACAAGTTACTATCAGCTGCCCCTGCGCCTGTGCCGATCTTTGGCGCTCGGTGGTGGCACGTCCAAGCCGGGAAGCTCGCCTGTACGAGTGGCCAACCATTGCCATCAGGACAATGTGAGCAACCGCCATTACATTGGTAAGATGACAGAAGTATGTTGCAGCCTTGCCGCATACGTCACACACTCACAGCGCCATAAACACTTCGGGCCGGCAGACCCGTGAACAAACAGGTACTCAACTAGATAGCTGTCAGTAGCCGGGGGATCAGTAGCGACGGAGGCCGTAGCAGCGGCAATAATAGCGGCTTCGGGCGCTGCTGATAACAATATTATCAACAACCACCTATAGTAACTGACGCTAATATCTCAGCGGGCAAACGCGGGGGAAAACAGAAGCCGAAGCTGGCAAAACAACAGAAGTCGGGCACGTCCCTGCCGCATAGCTCAAAATTATCTGAATACATCAAGAAAGATAAAAATTACTCCTACAAGAGCCACAACAGCATATGACGAGTTTAAACAATGAGGGGGCCAAGCGAACTACAGGCTGGCCATTTTAGAATGCGTCTAGATACGCAATCTTCCACTCCGGTCTCTGGGCACTTGCGGATCGTTGGTCGCATGCCAGATCATAGAGAACACACTCAATTAGATTTTTGCCTAAGCACGATTAATTTGGGTAATTGTGGTAGCTGCATATCCAGGATAACGAGGCTCTTACGAGATACGAATGAGAGATCACCAAAAATACGACTAATCACCGTGTAAACATTCATTTCAAACAGGTAACAATGTAAATTCTATTTTCGTGCAATGTTAAACCGAATAGGGCGTACGATCCGATTGCAAATTCTGGGATTGTGACCCAGCCGAATCTATTATGAATTAAAGAAAGTAAACCTGGCTGCTTTTCCTCAATTGGACAACATTTTCTGTTTACTCTGTATGTGTGTGGCTCATCCAGGAGTAAAAGGCCATACAAATAAACACATTAATCACGAGGGAAGGGGAATGCGAACAAGTATACTGCAGATATCTAACTGGGAGTATAAGCCAGCAAAACTAAATGCCATGGCAAACGAAGAACATCTATTTTAGGAACGGCGCCATTTAAAGTTTTTTCCTCATCCACCATCTAACAGCGTCTAAGAGCGTCGGTTGGGTTATCCAACGGACCACTCAGCACCACCTCACTAACTTCAATCATGGCTTTTTATATTTTCACGAACAATGTAAACCACTCTTCTTTAACAACTCTGGTCGCCGCCGCACAAAAAACAACCTGGTCACTAGCAGCGTCGATGGCTATAGAGCTGAAGCACAAAATTGAACTAGATACCACCAAACATACGCGAATATACTGACGCATCATTGCGAGCTAAATTACCCACTGAACGTCCCCGAAAGTTAGCACGCTCACACACAAACACATGTAGATATATATGTGATCGATCAAATAGCAACAGCGTAAACAAACCGACTTTTTACACAAGCATCTTTATTAAAGAAACGTTTGCGTTCACGAATAGCGAATTACTCAGTCGATTTATTTAAAAGGTAGGCCTAGTTAAAAAGCAGCATGGGCCACAGCAGTTCTATAGAAATTCATGCATTTGGTTGAATGTTAGTGAGGATGGTAGATGATGGATGTCAACTAAGCAATACAAGCCCGTACCAATCCAAAACTTGCTCGAAGTAGAAACTTAACGACGCTTGTTATTTTGAGACTCGAAACTTTACCTTAACCAACGATGTGCTATTACTGACGCTGCAATAACGAAATGAATCGCTTAGGCAAACCTATAATTATTTAGGCCACACTTCGAAACACAAGCGGTACAGTAATTGGTCAAGAATCATTCACTGTAACTTGCTCAGACTATCCGAGATCAGACACTAACGATGCCTCATCTGAAAAACTCCCGACACGAAAAATACTCACGTTAACGACGACATTGACAGCGCCTTCGGACTTGCTTTTGTTTAGCCGCGGTAAGTGGACAATCGGGTCCGAAGCTAAAACAGATTTGATGACAAGGGGTCCCCCTTGCTCCATGCTCTCCATGCTCTGAGCCCATTTGCCACGAGGGGGTGCAAGTGAACCGCCCAGACCTATACTGTCACTTACGCCTGAGCTAGCTGCGACACCCAGCTCGCTCAAGTCTCCGCCGCCTACCTGGAATGGCACCACCGAATACAATAACTAATCCAGCCATAGTGTTTCACGTCTGAGTGCTGGTCTCAATGCATCTATAAGCCTATGCCGTGTACGGTTTGTACGACGCACACGAGTGTAGTCAATGTTAGTGCTCGGATCGAACATATCTACTGTTAGAATGAATAGCAGCGGTTGTCACGATAACAAGTTCAAGTTTGAGAGTACGCACGAACTAGCGTCACTGCACTCACCCTTCAAGCCGTTATGGAAAATCGTAGAACTTAAGAGTTAGAAACAATTCAACAACAACGCTAATATCAGTCAGTTCCTTTCGGCTTATTCACCGTTACCACTACCACCTACCACGGTGGAAATGTTGCCTTGATTAATGGAAATGAGTACCATATTCACTGTTCTAGCTTGATTCCGCCATTGAGGGAGGCTAACTGTACACTGGCAATATCGTCGCACTCCTCCGTCCAGTTCATCATCGAACGAACCCAAAGTAGCACTATTTCAATGGTATACGAAAAACGTACATCGAATGCTCTACAAGCTCGTCGTCTGCCTAATCCCATTAGCGATATATAACTTCTATATTTAGGGGCCTTTGCGGAGGACCCTAAGTTTGCGTTGGAGTCGCACTGGCCGCGAGCACAAACAAAGGCCAACGTTTAGTCCTACTTCGACTCTGCTAATACATCGCGTAAATCTTGAGTTGTTTTTGCCGTGCGTTTCCCTACTATCGAATGGCAACGACAAGATGAAAAACAATCGTTACCACTGTACAGGTCCACGTGTGATCATCCACGTTGAAGCGCTATTTATCTGACAGAAGTTATTGCGGCGCTGATATGTATCATATCCCCTTCTTTCCTCTTGCTGCATTTGTTGCTAATACCGCTGTGGATGTTACTATCCGCTGCGTTCACAACAACGACTACTTCATTCTTTAGTTGGGAAATCAGTGGTGCATCGATGTGCGCATCTCAATAGGCCGACAACAAACGGCTAGGAGCGCCCAGCTGCTACGGGCTCCACCGCCGCTGGCGGACACACACGCAGACTCTCTCTCCACGATTAAAGCTCTGATCACCGACACAGATATCAGACAAAGGTCTCCGTGCCAGACCAAGCGGCTTGAGATAAAGGAGGCAAGAATCAAAAAACGAAATCCAAGTCTCCAACATGACGAAGCCTACGCCTATACTAGTACACTGAGGAATTTCACACGTGGACAAATACATAGAACGGAAGCACATCGCGTGCTTCCTACTAAATCGTCAACAAGCCAGTACGGTGCCGAAAGAGTCTGTGCGGCAGACGAGCTGCTGTATGGTAGTCCCCCTTATCCACATCAGGCCATCCTTGTTAATACATCGATTCTGCTGGAAGAAAGCTCCGTGTATGAAGGTGCGTCTCTATGTGTATATGTATGCATCTTGTGCCCATTGCGACCTAACTGACCACCTAAATCTTTTCTTCCTTGCACCGCTGCACAGAACCGTGTTTGGCGACTGGTCGAACGCTTCGTTTAGAGTTGTCTATAGCTGACAAGCAGTAACACCATAAGGCTGCCGATAGAAACAGCGGATAGGCGCAGAAGCTCACTCTAAATCCTCTTCATTCACGTAACCTTTCCAAATGCTCTATGACTTTACTGCTTCATCGGGTCTGGCTGGTGTTCGCTTGCGTTGTAGTATTGATAACTTTTCTCTGCGTGTGGCGGTATTAGCACGAGCTTTGAGCCGACGGCATCGCTAGCACATCAGTGCCATCGCCAACCGCATGTAGCTGCTCATTGGACAGGTCTGTATATGGGCATGTTAGGATAAGCTTTGTGGGGTATGTTGCTTCCGAACCTGCTGCCGTTGCTATTACCGCTACAATGGCGCCCTGGACTATTGCCGGATCGTGACTGCCCCGTCAGCGTTTCTGTTCAGCTGTGCGCATGTGCCTGCATCGAAACACCCCTCGACTCTGGACTGACAAGCAGATAATACGATAAATACCAACAAGTAATCAAATTCGAAACGGACGGCCTGCCACTTTACTTTTCACCCATAGCTGTCACCTCTAACGGCTGAAGTTCCACAGCCTCGGTGGCACATCAACAAATCGTATCATTATAGCGCTCATCCTTACCGTTGTGGTTGGATGCACCTTCTCAGAAGACGAACAGTCACAAAGCTACTGTCAACAGTGACCACTGTTCTCTGTCGAAATGATGACAGAAACGATCACGCTCAATATGAACATTTTCTTTGGTAAAGGAAATGCCATGTGGCCATTTATGCAACAAAAAATCATCACGACAAGAACACCAATGCTATAATCACCATCTACACATATGACTGATGCTCTGCTGGTTGACAATTCGTCCTGTGTGATACTCTCTTAATACTGATTGCATTGGCCACCCTTCTTCTGAGACTTCTCAGACGATCCTAAACACCTGGATAGTTCAAGGTATACATATTGGACAGCTGCATAATCGTCAATATTTTGTTACAACAAATAGAGCAATAACAGTTGTTTACATTTAGCCTAATTACTCGCTCGATTCTTGTCCTGCACTTCATTGTTGACGAATATGAGCTCTTGTTCCTGTTACCATGTTCGATTTGAATATATATTGATTCGTAACGGCATCTGCTGCGCGTACCACCTCTTTCTTTCGCTCCCCGTGTCTTCATGCTATTGCACACTTTTCCTCTTCTTCTTCTCTGTACGAGCCAGTTGTACTATACCGTCTACCGCAATTCACTTTTTATCATGCCTTGACTTCATTTGTTCGGATGTACGTGTATGTTTGTGTGCACGGTGGTGCAGATGGCTCTCATTTTGGATGCCGTAAAGTAGTACTACATAACTTATCAATCTCACCGCGAACGTCTCCGCTACGTTTTGATTAACTAGGCTGGTCGTCATTTCTTGTATAGTGGGCACTCAGATTCATAGACAAAGTGAATATAAAGAGAAACCATAATCCGTTTACTGTTATATGCTAAGTGGATGCACAAACGACCTACAGGTTCCGCCAGTGATCAGAGGAATGGACATCAGCGTACGCTCTTATATCGCAGAATCACAGATAGCAACTCGTCAAATCAGCGACTGCTCCTGCATAGCCAGTTATGAACACGTTGGCTGCCAAAAACATGCTGCCATATTGGATTTTTTCACTCCGAGAGTCGGAGGCTAGATGCAATAGTTTGTGGAGGACAGAGAGAAAAAGTGTATTCATCTACAACGGCAAACAAGGATATAAGAGACAGCATTTGTGAAGCTGAAAGTTGACCTGCTTGACAAACTGGGTGCAGAATTCTGGGTGGAGTTTTAATTGAAATCGAGATCGTAAGCTCTCTGGGAGAGCCCGCCATGTTGTCGGAAGGATAAAATAATAACTAGTGAAGTTGAACTGGCCGAAGAAAATATGATCACTATTGGCACCCCTATTTTCCCAAGTGTAAGAATCATCAGTTATTATCGAGGGAGAGTTAGTCGAGACACAAATCTTTTTTTATTTGTCAACAATACTAAAAAAAAAAACCGTTGATATCGCGTATTTTGATAATACTTTACGTCCTCTTATTTTTCGTTCGCGTCCGTAGCGTCTGCGTGGTAGACGTTTCATTTTTACACGGCTTCCTCTACACAATACATGGACATCTGATTAAATTTTAACTACCTGTAAACAGTAGTTTTACGACGAAGTATTAGTTTTTAGAATAGTAGTTTTTTATAACGGCCAATAACTTCACAGGGAAAACAAACCGCCACATTGTTTTTGCGGTTGTGAGCCGCCTTTTACTTGCGTGTCTATGACGCTACAACACTGCTGTTGTTACCGTAACGACGACACCCGGCAACGGTGGATCATAGCCATTAACTAGCTCTTAGTCGAGCTATGGCCGAATAATTAATAGATCGATTAATGAAGTTAGCGAGACTTTAGACAGCGTTCGTTGGCGGGTTACAAACTGGTGCCGTATCTTCGACCTCCACCCAAACAGACAAAAAATCAAAAATCCAACCACAGACAGATATGGGCTTCGATAAACATCCGCGCCTGCTTACATGTCATGGGTGCCACTAGAGACCCAGATAACCCACCATACTGGCACAGTACAGTTAAGACTACGGCGACAATGAGCAGAATGAATGATCAAAGTTCTATATATGTATATGGATTATGTTAAATATAATTTATAGGCAAGCTTCATTGCTTTCTGTACTCGAAGAGTTGTTATAACGCTACTCCTGGTTGTGCGCATATGACGCGCTCAATGATAACAATTAACCGCCGCAAGTAAATAGAATATGTAAATGCTACATCGAAAATAAAGCTAATTTCAACAATGTTACTAATAAATGACAATAAATAAAAATGATTTAAAAAAAACTGCTGGTTGCGCTCTGTACTAAATGGGTGACGTTTCTTATAAATACTGGTATTCTTATATATTCATATAACCACTAGCATTACGTATCTGTGAAGTGCTCTACTGTTCCTGCAAGTTGTGGGTGCCAGTAAACTTCGGGGGTCTAGGACAAAAGATAAAGGCCAACGCTGACTGTGCACGCTCAACTCGATATACAGATACTGTGGCTAAGGAAGTGAAGTCATTTGTTCAGGTTCACTACGGCTCAGTCATTCCGTAGAATCGACTGTTTCAAAATTAATACCCAGACGGCGAGAACTACGAACAAAATTTTGAAACAAAGTTTCCAGGTGTAAAGATAAGAAAAATGTTTTTCTGACTACTTTTCAATTATTGAACAATTGAAAAAAATGTTATTCAATAAATTCCGTATGGAAGGTAAAGCAGATTAGTTCTAGAAGATCGGACTAATCGTTCAGTCGCGTATTTTTTATAACTGTTTATTGTTAATCAAATACAGATCGTTTTATTATATCCAAATACAAGTAACAACAGATGGGTCACGCGGGACACATCAGCTGTTTGTGCTAAACGTTCAGAAATGAGGTCCGTTTTCAAGTAAAAAAAATATTAGGTAATATAGTCATATAGCAAAACCATTAGAAAAGTAAATCGATGTATTTGCAGGAGCTCTGTATGTTTTGCCGTGCATTACAAAGCTTAAATTGTATAATAAAATTAGAGCTTAACATTTATAATGCCAGGTGCGCGAAAATAATCGAAGAGCTAGAATCATTATAGAAAAATTCCACTACAAAAGAAACTTTTCATAGGATGTATCTGGCAAAAAATCTTTCTTAATAAAATGAATACGTAATAAAACTGATCCATATAGATTAGAAAGAACTCCCTACGTAACATAACTAACAATATAGTCATTCTATGACTTGACCCTTTATTGACTGCTTAATCAGGTCAAAAGTTATGTCGCATGATACAAATGGGGACTGATTAACATCTTTATGTAAGTATCTACCCCCAAGCATAAACTCATAATTATTTGTCCCTACTTAATCTGTTGACACTGACAGCAGAAACGCAAGACTCTGCCTAAAATACTTAAACCCGCTAAACGTTGAAGAGCAAAAAATTTGCTCTCTTTAAGGCTTCGATTTCGTTGACGTCATCTTCAGCGCGAACATTTATCTTCACATATTTCTATCCAACCCTAAATGCGTTGTAATACAGTATTTCTACGCTTTTGTTGTGTAGAGAACTAACGAGCCCACCATTGAATGGTTGCTCACACACACTCATCCTTCATGCTTCTATCTTACATTACACCTCCATGTTTTGCGGCTGGCTTTTCCTTAGTTAAAGCTTAAATAGTCTGCACTTACCCGTTTCTTAGCCCAGTTCGGGAGCTTGCCGTCATCGGTGGGTGTCTGTGGGGCACTCTGCACTCCGAGGCCCCTATTTCCATTAACGTCGAGCTTGGAGTCAAGCGTTCCTTGTTGAGAAGGTGCTTGTGATCCCCAAATAATAGTATTATCCTGCTCATTTACTAAACCCATTTTTGAACGTATCGTAGTCGTTATTTCAGCAGGAAGTTTCCACACAAAGATACAACCGTCACCAGAAACGCTGATCAGGTTGCGACCGTCGTCGGAAAATCGTAGCCCGGTAACAAGCTCCGAATGGCCAAACATTTGGGCAAGGCATTCGGCCGTTTGATAATCGTAGACGTAGATCGATTTGTCTGTGCATGAGGTCGCACAAAACGTTCCACTCGGATCCAGAACCACCTATAATAGGTAAGAATTTGTAGGGACGGCAATTTTAACAAGAAACTTGGGAAGTTCTAGTCTTTAATCTGCGGAAAAAAGTTCGTGCTAATGTAGAAGCAGGGCGTCTACACTTGATACTCTTTGAGGACTGAATGTGAATATGATCTATTTTGTTCAGACATGTGCTATTGACAATTTACGACAAACAAAAAGAAAAAATAAGTTTTTGCTTCGTCGGTCATAAACGGAACACGAAGTTGCTGGTGGCTTACTTTACCTTAATTAGAGTACCATCCTCTCCTTGGGCCCCCCTGAATGTGCGCGTATTCTTTGAGGATGTTACGGAATAAACTCGAACGTGTCGATCTTGGCAGGCCGTCAGTATATGCTTTTCCGCTCCATCAAGCTCCATGTCGAACAATGTACATTTCCCACTCACAAGGTGTTCCCTATAACGAAAACAATCCCACTTAAATGATCATAGATCATACATAAAGGTAAATCAAAATCTCGTTAGATTTAACTGTTTCTTGTCTAAATATGCGTTTCAGCTTGTCACACACCCAATCTAGTCGACTACCAACAGGTTATTAGAGAACATCGTACCTGTTGAAGTGAATGTCAGCAGATGAAGAAGATTCAGCAGGTAGCTGTGCTCTTCGGAAGATGATTTGCTTGTCCGCTCCGCACGAAATCATCTGCACGTTGTTCTGACCTGAACATTCGTCGAAACCCATTCATATGATAGACAGACCGTTACTCGTCAACAAATATGACTACGCTTAGTATAAATTAATAAAGAAATTATGACTTCACCTTATAAAAACGAAGTCAATTAGGACCCACTGAAAAAAAAAATATATATATATATATACATACTAACCAGAACTCGAGAGAGAGCCTTGAAGCGGCGAACGGACAAATTTGAGAGCTGTGATTGAACTCGAATGGTCGGCCAGTGTTTTGATGAACTGATAACTTCTTGCCACGTCAAAGATATGAATAAATCGGTCGCGCGATCCTGACGCCAGAAGGTGTCGGAAACCACACGCTGCCGGCGAGGTATACTCGAGGCAGAGGACCTCCGAGTCGTGAGCCTCAATTTTTCCCAGCTGTTCCATTTGTGGAACTCCGAAGATACTGTTAACCGAATTAGATTATAATTTTCTCACAGAATAGATTTCATAATGTATTTCATTTCTACTAATATTACGTAATAAAATACACGATAATGATATATATATATACTGCGGCGTAGAGTGGATAGGGAGAGAATTGGGGTCTGAGAGAAGACAAAAAGACTATGTATTCCGTTCTAACTGGCATTGTGCATAACTGGTACACATTCTGATTGCCATAAACCACCAAAGGTCGTGCTATTACATTGAAGTGAAGAACCAATCGTGCAGGTGTAGTATAAAAGTAGTAGCACATTTGCACGTACGTGATATTTCCAGATCGGTCTCCGCACGCAAGATGGCTTCCATCATGGCTGATCTTCATGCAACGGACACCATTCTTGCCATCGTAGTTTGCGTCGACTTTTTCGCTTGATCCACCGGTAGCACTGTTCTGGGTCGTTAGGTCGATATCAGTGATGTAGCTTAATCGAGAATCCATATAAATGATTTTAAGTAGTTCAGGGCAAAAGATGTTGCGTTTGACCGAGCTATCATGTAAGTTCCATGCCCGAATCGTGTCATCGCTAGAGCACGTAAGGAATGTTCCTTTTGGTAGGCCCTGAGGAAGCAAACAACTGCTATTCATCTTCGTTGTGGCGACAGATCGAATAATCGTTAACATTATTATACGCATACGCTCAATGAGCTTGAATTGAATTATACCAAAATCAAAATCTGCGACCCACGTATCGCGTATACCGGCAAATACTCGCTTCCCTATAGTTCCTTATCAAGAAATCAATGGTTGTCTTCAAATTTCACTATGCAATTATAGATGTACTCGTTTGAAACATAGAAATCGTTACTGAAGCAACAGTTTGTCCATTCCAAGGGCACAAGAGAAACGAACCTGTAACGCACTAGAATATGTTTCAATGCCCCAGATGCAGGCGGCATGAAATAGGAACGAGAAGCATTTGCCCACTCGCTTGGGCTCCACCACCGACCAAACATAAAGAGAATGGTCGTTGTAGACACACGTAACCCGTTTATGTACTTCGTCATACGTCAATGCTACGACATCGGGGTAGCGGGAGTTCTCGGGGTGGTACATCACAGCGCTGTGTAAACGATAGAACAATAACAGGCCCACTGACTATTGGATTCCGTCCATGTAAAATGCACGCAGTGGCGAAACGAAGCTACCTGTCTAGATGAATATAGAGCAAAGCGACTACAGCGATACTACGATAAAACGATCAACGGCATATTCATCATTCTACGTGCATTGTTATGGCCATAAATAATCTCTGATGTCGCATTATGAAGCAGATCGTGAAATAGTGCACGAACTTACTTGGGACTGACTCCTTTGGCGATGTCAACTCCTAAGTGATGAGGTTTTGGCAAAGTGCAAACAAAGTGCAGCGACAATGGGTCAAAACAACGCACGGTACCGTCGCTACAGCCGACGAAGATTCGGTCTTCGCCGACGCTGATTGAGTTCGCTACTGACGTTTTCAACTCGACCTTAAATTCGAGTATTGAAACAATGAATTGTTATTTCAACTATATAGTTGCAATACAGCAGATGCTCGTGTTTTCGAATCATTTGTGAGCCATTGTGTGAAACAGTAACATAGCTATCTCGCGCGAGTTTTTTTCTACGTATCTGTAATAGAAAATTTCCATTTGATAAGTGGCGACCTGCTAATAATCACTAACCCATTTGTCCAGGAGTCTTCGTGAATTGAAGACACACAGAAGACCGCTTTTTGTAATGGCATAGGTGTTTTCGTGAAGCGCCCCTTTTCCGCAGTCCGCGTCACAGAAGTTATTGTTTCGTTGATCACCCAGGATAGCGCTGCGCCCCATCAATGGCATTGGTTCCGCCATGTTCTGCAAGCAAACGGACGGACAACTGTTGTAGTTCTAGACCCAATATAATGATTTGACTTTATTGCGCTCGATTGCTACTGATTAATAATGTATCTTTGTATGTAAACTTCACTCAGTTAACTATAATTCTCTCGGTTACTGGCTCACTCGCGACATATTAGGTACATTAGTTTATGGTCGAGGGAGCAAACTTCTCACTTGATTCCACATGGATCGATACGATAATGCCGCTTAGCTTAATACTGTGGCACACACTCCTAGCAATAGACCTACTAGTTGGACTGGAAGATTGCAGTACAGGTAACTAATCTTATCAAATTGTCAATAGGTTCGGAGTGCTTGTTCAACCTCGTCGTACGACCCTCCATGTTGGCATTTTATTACCATACCTCGGTGTAGGAAGCCGTAACAGAATAAACACTGATTTTATGTTCGGCAAATGACAAAACCGCCACCAAGATCTCATTTTGAGACCATTAGAGTTCTGGGTCGCATCACAACCAAATCAGCCTATAACTTCAGCGGCCATTGTGCCATCAGATGCTATGCGACTCGTTCCGACACTGTTAGGAACAACGCTATATAGTTCAGCGGTAGCAGACAATAAAATCTGTTCTAGAACTATTCATAATCGGCGTACGTAACTAAGTGGACCTTATAAAAACAGTAGAAATTTAATATGAGCAACTGCTATAACAATTTTTAAAGGAAACACTTACAGCGATCAATTTGGCATGTTCCAAATACCAAAACTTGACGTGCCGGTTGCCGACGGTTACAAAATAATTACCCGAGGCCGCGAATGTCACCGACTTCACCTGTAGGTAGTAATCAATGAAAATACTACTATTGTTCATTTAACTGTTCTCGAATCAGTGGTTATTGGAACAACTGCAATTGTAAGTATATAAATACCGCTTGTCTATGTATTTATTTCGTCCAGCTTCTGCATACGCCCCATAGTATCGGAAGCAACGCCAATACTTTTTAGCAGGTTAATGTAAGTTAAAAAAAAGTTATATATATATGGTAGTAATGTAATGCTGCGCTACGAACCTTGGAGGAGACTTTATTTGATGCGACCTTCGTGTCGCTTCGCCAGTCCCAAACATTGACGACAGAATCATGTTGGCTTCCGACTGAAACGACATATTTTAAGTTGGGGGAAAAGGCCTGCAATAGCAAAAAACGTAACATAAGAATGATCATCGGTGTAGAACAAACTATGTGCTAAATATCATTTTTTTTTACAAATGTAAGAAATTCATACGCTCACATCAAGCTAGACAAAGCTATATGCAGCGCTACCATATCTTGACGATGTTTCTTTCGACATTCGTCTCAAGGAAAAATCGTGCATGTAGTGGTATAAACGTTGGTGTGACGTCAAAATGAATGGCTTTAAGACTTCACGTTTCGGCGTGATATGATGGCGGCGATGTCTATACATACACTACCATTTTTAAGGTGCATAACATGGACCATTTTACAGACGTCGGCGCCCACGAAATTATATTCCTCTTTCTATCCACAGGTAATTAGTAGAAATTAGATATTCGCCGTGATGGACCTGTTCATCAAGTACCTTGTCCATCACACTGAGTCAATCAGCTATCTAAAGGCAACAAATGAACGATGCACGATTTCTCGTTCGGTATGCCGACCAGCGAAATCCAAACATAGAACATACAATCGTTGAACTACTGAATTTAGGCGTTGCATCGTATTCACCACTTGTAGAATGCGCCAGCAGCCTTCGTAATCAGTACAATGTTAAACGCCATGTTGCATGGAGTGAATCTTCATTTTCACTCCGTTCTACCAATAGTTTAGGACTAAATAGTTTAGGAGTCGTATAATGACACTGCTTCGAGTCTAGCCTAATTGTATTAAGTTCGGAATTTGTTTAAATAGCAAAAATACATGATCAGGCCACAGTTTAATGCTAGGAATAGGCTATTCGAAGTAAGGAGCACACCCGACAAAATCACTAACGCTAACCGTTTAAGCTTGAACAATGTTTACAACAACGATATGATATCTTTTTTGTACTTTCACAAAACGAACTAAAGCTGTCCTCAACTTACCACACAATTAATTCCGTATTTATGGCCAGGGAACTCGGCGAGCTGCTGGCGTCGCTCGACGTCCCAGATTCGTAACTGGGGTTGGTGACCACACTCGCCAGTCGCAAGGAACTTCCCGTCCCATGAGAAAGCCAACGAAGTAATTGTCTTTTTTGACGGTGATACAATGTGGGTCTGCCGGTTCGTTTTACTATTGTACAAAATCACTACACATCCTGGTGATAGCCGTATATTAGCCAATGCACACAGACACAAAAAGATGGTACCTTAGAGATTATTCCTTTGATAATGCAGGACCATGTGACTCTACGTGGAAATCAAAAGTGAGAAAAAGTTAAGATCGACGTGAGTTCAGGCGGAACTGCAGCACCGAATACTGCATTGTTCCATTGTTGTTTTCGTAATAAACTGGTCTGAAGAATGATTAGAAATTTGCTACATATACATGCGTAGACTGGTACATAAGAGGACCTGATTTATTAAATCTGCCTGTTTTGAGAGTTACGATGTTGTGCGATACAAACCAGCTGGATAGGCAACGGTTGCGGTAAGCGGGTCAACAGCCACGGCGGCGCTGCTAGTCACGGTTAGTCCAAGAACGCGCTCCAATTCTACCTGTACATCGTTGAATTGATGAAATAACAAAAACTCATTGTAAATTTCATTATTCTTCACAACATCACGGACTATTATAACGAAGTACTAATAGAACTACCATTAGGCTTCCACAGGTGTTAGTGACTGGCTATGTTGCGGTATAACTGCGGTATGTTTGTAGCTTAGTAATATTAAGCTGATTAGTGGAACACTCGAATTCAGCAACTAAATGGATAAATTCTAAAGCATTTTGGTTATTCTGTCAGCTTACAGAAATCATACAACCGGACGAAATGACCATCTCTTGTTATTAAATAACATGTTCTCAATGTTTACCGGAGCGATTATTAACAAAGCTGTTACATCTGAGCTCGGTTTGAAGTTCGGGAACTTGACCCGGCTTGACTTTGCTTCTGCCATAACGTTAGCAATTCGATAGCTATTGCGTGTTATTTGCCTAGGACAACACAACCAATAAACATTTAGCAGAGTGGACTGTGCCCACTCTCCCCGCACCAGCCAGCGACTTGCCTGTAAGGTCTTGGACGATTTTCAGCAATACTATCCCTTAAGGTCTTGTTCTAACATGTATGTCTTTCACTATAGACATTTCTAGAAGACAGAAAAGCTAGCAATTCCCTGCAGAACCCGCTACAAAAGTTTTCTGTAGGGCGTAACTTTTGTCCAAAAAGGAATAGGCAATTTTAGCTCTCAGAGATCGCAAGGCAATGACAAGTTCTCTAACATAGTACTCGATATGTTACTTTTCAAAGCAGAAAACGGCCGACATATCGGTCATCGTACGATACATGTGACATTCGCACACTGTTTTGAGGCCGTATACAAATGCAATGAGCAAATATGTAGAAATTATGATAACTTTATGCTGAAGCCTATTATGCGCCAACAAGGACTATTTAATTAAATCTATATTATTACTGTTCTAGTTATTATTATTATTATTATTATTATATGTTTATGAAAGACGGTTGGCTTGTGACCACATATAAAGCGTGCGACTGTTGTTAGTGCGTGTTTGCTTCCGTCTACGCAACGACACTGTATATATATTTGTATGACCGTACAGATTCCCTCGCTTACGCAGCAGAACGAATCGTCCATTTTGTTACATCTTTTCGCAGTACACCCGGAAGCAAGCTAACTAACACAGAATAAGTCCGTATTCCGAGATCAGATTTCGATTCACACCGTCAATAGAAATATGGGGATTAGCGGTTAGAAACAACAACCGTAGCAGACTTCGACGTCGTCATTGTCGAAATCGTTTGATTAGGAAATGACATATCGGTTTAAGACGCGTGCATGGTGGACTCTTACATCGGGGTACCGGACAAATTCGTCGACCGTCTCAAGGATCGAATCTTCCGGCAGACGCTCCAAGATCTCCGCAGGCATTGTCTTTGTCTGTGATTTGTCCACCTGCCAGCCAATCACAGAAGCTCGAATACGCCGGAATTTCACCTCCCGTCGCTACAACCGCAACCGCAACAGATGGTGGCGCTGTGCTGCCCACTATTATGATAGAGGCTAACGTTGAAGTAACTGTTCTCTCATATCTGGCATTAGCAGCACAGACTTTGTTCTTCTCTCTCCCTTCGTGCAACTTTTCATATGGCAGTTTTCTACTATAGTAGGCAAAACAAATCACATAATACAGCACATGTGCCAATAAGAACCTGGTTTATTCATAAAATACTAGATAACTATATAATGAGCCGCACACACGTACGTGTTCATAAAAGTACATTCGGCAATTTCCAGTGCGGAGTGTCTAAGGTCAACTAGACAAGTCTATTCTAAACTGAGGTACAACATAGAACGCCGAAATCATCCAGAGAACTTGTTAAGCACATATGCACACACAAACACACACACACACACACACACACACACACACACACACACACACACACACACACACACACACACACACATATCTATATCTGCCTGTATATATATTCTAAGTCGACACTTGTTCTGAGTGCTGACGAACAGTATCACACATGTACAAGGTCCACCGAAATTTACCCAGGCTCATTAGCAAGAATACGATTCTTATTAAACATTACCTTTGTTAGCCCACTACAGCCTTTTCGACATAATTCTACCGTTAGGTTGGTCTAGAAAACCCACCGTCTCGTACGAGTTGTTTTATTAGTTGGCTGTATTATGTATGTATATCTTGTAATTCTATGTTATTGCTTCAGTTACCTTAATGTAGATGCTTCATTATGTCCTGTTCTAGTCGCCCTGTGACCCATTCTCCAGTGTCAGTTATCCCGTGCCCTCATCGCAATTAAATTGTCACTATACAATCGTAATCCTGTTACCCCCAGCGGCTGTCCCGCAATTTTAATGATAAACTAACCTTAACTGATTCTTATGTCCCTGAGGAAACAACACCAGTAAGAAATGTGAAGACCTTAATACTTTTCAGAAATCCTCAACAGTTTCCCAAGGAAAACACGATCTGTTAGTCCATGGTGGCGGATGCGAAAACCTGGCTTTTTTTTTTGAAAAATCGAATCTTATTATGTTTATTGTATAGAGCTCGGCAAGCTGATAAACATTTACGTTTAGATATTGCTAAAATACGTATTGAAAAAGACCATATTTTCCTTGCCTATTTTCTTCAGTTTCTCTCAATTTTCGTTCGTAATTTTCCGATAAAACCAATTTCCCAAACATGTCATTTTTGCCACGTATATATATAGGAAGCAACTCTTTTAGAAGTATAAGATTATACTACAATCTTTATTCATTTGTCTAGTAATCGTCGAGATGCGAACGGCTGTTAAATTGTATGCAGAGTAATTTAGTTAGAGTTAAAATAGTTTATATAAGTGCGACGTATAGAGTAGTTTTAATCAACATTGCATCTATTACATGACTCTGCCGTGCTAAATGAACGATTTAAACCAATGTCAATTTTTCGCAGTTGTACGGTGTCACTAATTAGAAAACGCTGACATCGTTACATATCAGAAACAATACTTGTTCGTTGGGGTTTTGTGCATTATCATCTCCTCCTGCTAAGCTCGACTATAGCGATTACATGCATAAATATTTCTAATTATTGTAGGGGTTTTGCTGCCGTTCATTTGCTCTCCACATATCGATTAAACGTTATTATAGAAATGGACAAATGAGTGACGAATGATATAATTAATGAACAAGATTAATTTCTATATTACATCTCCTATTTTTTACCCCTTGCTTTCGTTTCGGTGACAGACTTGGTCGACCAAAAACAACCAAGCCAGAGGATCAGGTACGAGCCACGGTCCAGAGTCGAGAATTTACGCATCAAACAGGTGCTGGTCACCTGCTCGGCAATAACGAGCGCGTTTCACCGTTCGCAAAAACCGTTAGACGGAGTAAAAGACCTCCACAAATTTTACTACCATTATTTGAACACAATGCGTGACTGGACGACCTGTGACTAGCTGTTATCTGTAGAAGGTCATCCCCAAACGAATTGCCAAGGGTTGTCTTCATCACTATGAAAAACTTCCACAATTTCATTACAAAAATATAGAAAAACTAAAGACCACAGTGCACGCCGAAATCCTAGCTAGATATTAGCTTTACTTGACAGCTGTTGGCCTATAAAGGGTGCAAGGTCTATATAGTACCTGTACAACTTCATCGACAAATCTTGCTAGTTACTCTCGTTACTACTACGGGCCGCTGTGCCCTAGCTATTGGTTCTTGTCAGCGCAGAATCCAGCGTTCAGTACTTCGCTTGAAGTGTGGGTTACTAGCACCAGACTACCTTTCACTCGAATAGAACTTCATGCACTGACTGCTACGTGTGTGATAATTGCTAAATGTGATAACCACTGTGATTCACTTGAAACGAAATCGTATCCATGCCTGGTATGGCGTACTGTGGTATCGAGTCTTCTCAGGTGTTTTTCGATAACGCTGACCTGATGGCCGCAATAAACAAACACAGAATGCATATTATACTACTCAGCCTTTATATACATATATACTCATAAGTCCAAAGCGTGCCCAACTATATTTCACTAATGTTAACTGATTTTCGTGCTTTTTTTTTGGCTCTGCGTGACGGGCGTGCCATGGAAGGTGAAGAAAAGTTTCTGTTACGGATGCACCACCAGGAGTAAGCTAACGAGATCGGCACACGCTGTAACGCTCCTCGCGTTAGAAAATAGAGCCATGAATAGGCACGATTACTTAACAAACGCATTGACTTGCTAGTTTAGGCATAAATCCTAACTTAAGTAAGTCGGCTCATCCATCAGCCATCTATCACCTGTCCATCCCGCTCACGAGCAACAGTTCCTCGCGTAGTTCATTCGAGTGCATAGAGTTATCAATGTGCATGCACAGATCTTCCGTAAAGAAAGAAACAGCGCTTTTCGTTTGTCTGGAGAATGAGCTGTTTAAAACAGCCTCGATAGTTTACGCCGGAACGACAGAACATCGACAGTACGATTTACCATTAAAACGTAACCAAGCATCACCCCGAAATGAGCATACGCTGAACCGACTAATCAAATAAAGATTATTCGATGAGCATACCCTTAACTTCTTTTTTGAATGTATTTACATATTTTCAATGAGTTCTCTAGAAAGACACATCGTGTTCGCGTGCTTATGTTCGTCTCGACCTCGACGGTACAGCCCAGCATCAATCGAATATACTGGAAACTTAGAGCATTGCCGAAAATTCCTTCAAGATGAGCGATCCGTGCAGTTGCCGCCGACCCCGTGCGGATCGAGTCAGTTTGGCGGGCTGTGGTAAAGCGTCGTGCGACGACAATCTATTTGTTGCATTAACTATATGTGGTGGTATTAGTTGCGACTCATGCTGATGCGGCAATGCCGAGAACCGTGACAGCTGGGGGTGCCCTGTTATTGAGCTGAACTGTTGCTGATGGAGCACAGTTGGAGCAACGTTTGGTGCAAAACTACCGGTTCTCAAAGGCACCGGTTACATAAATTGTTGTCGTTAGGTGGGATGGTGT